TGAACAGTATTTTTAGTGGATTTTTACATTTACTTTCATATTGCTTACAGTACCTGGTGTGTATCGAAATAAAACGGGAGGCTTCCACTAAATTTAGTTTCCTAATTACTATATACACACGTACATGAATGGTTAACAATCATTATAGTATTAAAAATAGATTATATATATATAAAGAGAGAGAGCGAGAGAGAGAGAGGGAGAGAGAGTTATTTAATTATTTCACTCTACGCAAGGCAATGAAGCCACCAAGACGCGGGGGGTTACTGAATGTGAAAGAATATAGGAAAAAGAAAAACATTATTAAGAAGTGATAAAAGAACAGGAAATAAGACAGAAGATAACGGCTGACGTTGCGTTTAAATTTTTGTAGATCAAAGTTGGTTGGAAAGCAAGAAACTGGAAGAGAGTTCGACATAGAACATACATAGTTACATCTAGATATTTCAATTGTCAAATGATAACAACTTGACGCCAATCTATTAAATCTTAAATTCATAAAGTCTAGGTACCATGCAGGAAAGTTAATCAGAACAATTACCATGAAACTATTTATAGAAAGGCTTAAAGAAACTACAATACAACGATAAGAAAATGACTAAAGCCGAAATACCAATCGATGTTAATACTAACACTAAAATACCAGTCTGAAATATGATATTTTAATGGTAATATATTTATGTAGTGTTGTTTTGCTTAATTAGAAGTCTTATAGATATATGAAAATTTAGAGGGATACTAAATAGGCGTTTGTTAAAATTTAAATGAAAAATAAATACATAGATTATTATTGTCGGGATGACTGTTTGGTACACTTGGTAATAGTTCATAGGAGTTAAAGTATGGGTGTGGCCTGAGGCGAACCTTATACCCCAAGCATCACACCAGACGAGATTAAAATGCATTGCCACCACTTACAGTCACCATTACCTAAGCAAACGACTAAGTATAAAAGCTATAAATATTTAAAAAAATAAGTACATATCAACAAATATACAAAACAAATAAAAATAAATGCCAATAAATAACGAGCTATAACCGGAAGTCATCAAAACACTGAGGACCAGACAGTAATTCTAAACAGTTTAGCAGACGTCAATGAAGCAGACATTTTGCTAAACATTTTTGGAATTGAAAATGGAAAGGCTTCATTCAGTTTCCATTTGAGGCCGTCCCGTAGACCGGAAACCAAGCATACAATTCGTACATCAATTCCATTTGTTACTTGCACAGTTACCGGCCTTTTCTGAAAAGCGAACACAAGACACTCATTAACTAAATAGATTTCTTATATGTCTGTAAAGAGGAGATCACGACTGTGCCTGCTCTGATGCGTGTACGTAACCTGCATATATATGGATATTTGTGTGTATTAGTGTAAAGGTGTGTGCCTGTACGTGGATAACAAATGTGAGGCAGTTAAGAAGAATGAATTTGTGTACGGCGTGCGTGTTGATGCGTGTGTTAAAGAGCAGGCATCTGTGGGTGTGCTACTTTGGGTGACTCTTTCAGAGAACGAGAAATAGATAAACGGAGAGAATGTACGAGAATATATTTGTGTACGTGTATAAGTCTATCATAAGGGATTATGTGTATTTCTGTCTAAAACTACGTCCGTATGCGGATATCTATCCAAAAGTGCTTTAGTCTCTATTTAAATATGATTGTTGCTATGTATTTGTGCATATACAAGCGGAGCTAACTGTGTAAATGTAAATGCAGCGTGATTGTTCGGACATAAGTATATTTGAGCTTTGGCATGTGCTATAAGAGAAGGGGTGAGAGACATATATAGAGAGAAGGAGATATATAAGAGAGTGACAGAGAGAGATAGAGGGAGAGGGAGGAGAGGAGAGAGATGGATGGGAGGGTGAGAGTTGGGGGGGAAGAGTGAGAGAGAGAGAAAGAGGATAGGGAGAGAATGAAATGATAGATGAGTGTGAAGCAAATGATGTTTATCTCTGCCTTAGGTTTTTGTTTTATTATTGTTCATGTTTATTGGTATGAGAGAGAAGGAAAGAAAGAGGGAGATAGATAAGGAGATATAGAGGGGGGAGAGAAGAAAGATGAGAGAGGAGGATGGAGGGTGAGGTAGTATACATAGGTATAAAATGTGAGTGGGGGATGGAGAAATAGAGGTTGTCAGAGAGAGAGAGAGAGAGAGAGAAAGAGAGAAAGAGAGAGAGAGATGATATAAGATTTGTGAGGACGTGTTGCTGAATCTATGTAATCGATTTTGTTTTATCATTGATGTAGTATGCTTATTGGAAAAGGAGAGGGTGAGACAAAGAAAGAAAGAGAGAGAGAGAGAGAAAGAAAGAAAGAGAGAAAGAGAGAAAAGAATTTGAGTATATCTCAAAATGCCCATATTTTTGTGTCAATGTGCTTCTTGAATAAGTTTTAATAAGTATATTTATAAATTGCATATGATGATTTTCTGCGCGTAGTTTAGAAGTGGCACACGACCAAAAATATGTGAGATCCAGTGAGGATCGAACTCACTAGCGAGACAAGCGTGCTAACCATTGCATCACGTTTCAGTACCCAAAAATAATTTTCTTAGCGTAGATTAGATGTGACACAAGGCCGAAAGTATGGAGCACCAAGTGAGAATTAGAAATGAAACAGTTTGCTCAAATGATATGTAATATCAATCCCCCTATATTGTAAGGAGTGCTGGATAATTTCATCACAGAGAGAGTTGGGGGTATCTGAAATGTGCTTCACCAGAAGGATGCTGAGAATACCATGGAAGAAACATGTGAAAAACAAGGAAGTTTTAAAGAAAATAGTTATAAAAAAGACACTTGTACTCAGAATCAGAAAGAAACAGTAGAAATCTCTGAACAAATAATGAAGAATGAAGGCTTGGAGAATTTGACACTCACAGAAGCATAATGAAGACAAGAGAGACAGAAGAAAACATCAAGTAATCTACCTAAAGGGCTTGTGTAAATGGATGGCAGAACACAATCTGGGATAGATAATAAGGAGACAGACATTGCTTTGGGCTACAAAGGTTAGCAATTTACTAAGTGTAGCTTCGATGTGACACAAGGCCGAAACAGAGGATCGAACTCATTGCACAGTCGTAATTGTTCTAGCTTGCTAACATCGAGGTGCCCGTTGATTTACTAAGACTTATAAACTGTATTTAAGTACATGTGAAAGTGTAGGAAAATTATTAATAATGTCTGTATATAAAAGAAATATACTTTGTTTGTGTGCACAAATATGCTTGAATTATAGTGTGTGTATGTGCATGTGTGTGACTTACGTTTTGATAATCCATCAAGGACACATACAAAATAAAAGTTCACGTACAAGATCATATGTATTTAATAGAAGTTCATGTACAAGATCATATGTATTCAATAGAAGTTCACGTACAAGATCATATGTATTCAAGCATCTTGTTGCTTAATTAGCCCTACCTTTATGAGGTAGGTAGATATAACAAATTCAATTTGCATGTTCAGTGATTTACACTGAGTGTGAATGCATATTTATTAGACATGCAAGATCTGATTGAATGAATAAATAAACCGATTTTAAACTTGTACCTTGAGTTTTTAGTGTACAAGATTATACAGAGTGCCCATTAAAAAAAGTAGCAAATGTATTCTTCAAGAAAATACACCAGCACTAATTGTTCCATCTCAGTGAGCTCCTGAAAGCCCAGATCTGAATGTTATGGATTACTCTATCTGGAGTATACTCCTAACTTGCAAAAACCGTCGCCCTGACATCGTCGATATGGATTCTTTGAAGTGGAACTTAACTGAAACTTGGAATGAAATTCCACTTGACACTACCCGCAAAGCTACTGCCTCCTGGTTACCACGCTTACAACTTTGTGTTGAAAATTCAGGCAACCATTTCGAACATGTACGATGATTGTTCAGGTTGTGCATGAATCATGTTTGCGAAATAAATTGCTTTACCGCTTTTTTACTGGGCACCCTGTTGATGTGATGAGCATGTAGGAATGAATTATAACGAAAAAATTTAACACAGGATAAGTAGTTTTAGCCGACACTGTCTTCTTTATGTGCAATGTCCCTTCAGGGCGTAGGCGATAATTGCATTCCACAACGTCCTGCCCGTTGTGGCTCCTAATAAACTGTCTTTCTGTTATTTCTCCAAAGCTCTGATCCTCCATCGATTTACTTAAGCTCATCAAATACGTCATACGTTGTCTTTATCTGTCCATCTTGCCCTCTGTTCCGAGAGTATCAGATTTTCCAAGCTCTCCTTCCTCGTTATATGCCCTAGAAACATCCACTGTCACTGTTAAGTATTAGTTTCTTTTTTGTTTTCATTTTCTCCAAAACTTCGTCGTTACTCACATGGTTGGTCAACGGTATCCTCAGTGTCCTGTAAAAACTACATTTCTCAGGTCTTCTCTTCATTTTGAGGAGATCGTCCAGCATTCACTTCCATACAGGAGGAAAGATATGACATAACAGTTTAGTACTCTTTTCTAGCGAAATTTTCCAGTTTCTTAATACTCTGCTTAGTTTTTGTAATGCTTCCTTGGCTAACCCAATACGCCTTCGGAACTCAGTGTCACTCTTTTCGTCCTCTATTAAAACAATTCCCATATATTTAAATTTCCGCATCGTAAGACGCTATAAACCAAACTATTAACCTGAGGAATCGTTACGTTCTTAAACATCCTCCTCAGATCTAGACTCTCATATTGATGCCATATACGGCCCCCAGCTCGTTCAAAAATGTTTAAACTGTCAGCTATATGCAACCATTTTGTCTATGAATAAAAATGATTTCAAGTGAATCAACTCTGTATATCTTAAATTAGACAATCCTTCATCACGCCATATAGACTAGCTTTTTGGGCACCTCGACCTGGTGTAATGGTTAGCAAGCCTGTTTCGTTATATCAACCATAGAATAGTTAGTTCGATCTTCATTGGATGTCCCATACTTTCAGCCTAGTGCCACATCTAACCTACGCTTAGAAAATCACCTTTGCTAAGGATCAAATAACCTTGAACACACCGGTTCTCGTTCGATCACCGAAGTTAAACGAAGTTGACCCAGGTCAGTACTGAGATTAAACTTGGGAATACCTGGTACTGTAAGCTAAGCCCCCTTCCGCTCAGGGAACGTGTTGGGCACTTCGACATGATGTGATTGTTAGCTAGATCAATTACGATTGAGTGGTGAATTGGATACTCACTGAGAGCTCCACACTTTCGGTTTTGTACCACATCTAAGCTACACTTAGAAAATTATGAATATAGATTGATTCTACAAAATCATAAGCAAATGATAAAAACCACGTCACTTGAAGCAAGAATCAAGATGCGTGACACATATAACTAGAAAGTAAAATAATGATATGATCAAAGATGTTTTGACTTTCGAGAATACTATAAAGAAACGTTTATGAGGGAAACTAACATTAGTATGAAAAAAACAACCGATAAAATATGGTCGAATTGAGAAGTATGTTATCCAGAAAAAATGCTTAAAAAAAAAAAAAATTATAAATGTCATCCGACAGTATCGCTGTTCCGTCATTTGAATGCCAAATGTTTTCTATATGGAGACGCCTATATTTACCATTATAATTACGATGCTGCCACAAAATGAGAAAAAAAAAAGAAACAAAATCTTTTACTAGGAGACAAAAAACTTAGCAAAATTTTCCAAACCATCCCTGATAACGACCATTGGAAATATACCTGCATGAAAAACACCGGACGCATCTTCCGAAATACATGTGCTAAAAAGATATATGAAATATATAAAATACATATGTCTATATTTCTGACATTAGGTATTGTTACTATTTACTCTATTTACATTATTCGAACTGTTGACCTCATCTTTATTGTCATATTCACTACGTTTCAGCCGTTGTACGCTCCGGCATTCTTCAGGTGATATACCCTTTATTGAGTACACGGGAGCAGATTAATCTAGTTCCACGTGCCATTCCTTTTCTGGATATCCCAGTTTCATTTAATTCCCTTTAGTAACTCTACAATCAAAATAGCTACAAAAACAAACCTTGCAAATACTTATATATTTTGAATTTCGCAACAAACACAAAGCAGATGTGGATAAGCATCGTTTGTTCAATTCCTTATCTTTTGGAGCTCTTGGAAAATGGTTGTCTTTCTACTATCTCTCCAAATCCCTGTTCTGTTATTCATTAACACAAACTCGTTAAGTTGGTTGCTCGCTGTGTCCTTTTGTCCCTCGCATCTTCAGTATATAATCTAAGAGTCAAATTCTCCATCCCTTCTCTCCTGTGTCCCAGAATTTCAATTGCCTTTTTCTGATTCAAAGTATAGGTGTCATTTTTTGTTTCCACGTTCCTTAAAACTTACTCGTCGTTCACATGCGCCGTCTATGGTATTTTCAGTGTCTTTCTGTAGAACCACATGTCTTTTCCTTCAAGTCTCCTCTGCTTGTATGAGGAAATTGTCCAGCATTTGATTGCCATACAGGAGGGCTGATATTACATATAATTTCAGCATCATTTTCATTCTAATGACATTTTTTCATCTGTTAATATTTTGTTTATCTTTTGGAGGGCAACTTTTGATATTCCGGTGCGAATTTGGAATTTCATCTTACATTTTTCTATTGTCTGCTAAAAAGCTCCCCAGATATTTAAAATTTCTGTAATTGCTTGTTCTTGAAATCGTCAATTTATAGCTCGCCTTTTGAACAGTCGCTCTTTCTATTGACAATTCGTACCCTCTTCTTAGAACTGATGGTTAGTCCTTTCTTCTTGCTTTTCTTTACAAACTTGTCTAGGAATCCGTGAAGTTTTCTCTCTATGCTCGCTACCAACATGGTGTCACCTTCGTATTTTAAGATTATAACCACCGAAAAAATAAATCTTAATATAACTTTCACTTCTCTTAGAATCACGTTGATTTTTTTTTTGGTTAATAACAGAAATATATTTGTATTTAAAAGAAGCTTGGAGAGGGATGTATTTTTTATAGTTGATTGAAAAAGAGTGAAATGTTTTTCGTAAAATATATTTGTACTTATTTTTCTCCCTAATTCATATCAACAAATCCTTAAATGTTTTTACCGGCTTTTGACTCTGTCTGTCATTTATTTACTTATTTTTTTGGCATAATGTTTAATTGGGATATTTTTCAGTTTATATTTTTGTTCCTGCTTTTCGCTATACGACCTTTAATGGATAATGGGATTTTCTTTGTATTTCTCTCGCAAAAAAAAGGAAAAATAAACTAGCGGGGAAAAGAAAATCCATCTTCATATTCTTGGATATTAAACAGAAAAGAAAAACGATAGCGGATAGCGAGCTATATAGATAGAACAAGACAGAAAAAAAAGAATTTCTATCTATCTATCTATCTATCTATCTATCTATCTATCTATCTATCTATCTATCTAAACTTTATTCACGTTAGTATTTGAGTTCATTTAAGTACAAATTTACCTAGCCCTGGATATGATGATAAACTACATACGGAAGCAAGACCTCTGATCGGGAGATTGGAAGTTTTGAGAAGCGTGGAACCACAACAATACTTAACTGCTGTTGTTTTCTGGTTCACCCTGACCAGAGGTGGTAGCATCTGTTAGGGTCCGAGCTATGGGTAAATAGTAAACCCCCCAAACAAAAACAAAACATTATAAAATACATTTTTATAGTAAAAATACCAGCAATACATAGTTAAAGCAAATTGACCGGTAATACGTTTTATCTGTGGTTGAGGGCATGCAACTGACATCAAAACCTTTGGATTTCGGAATTAAACAACCCATAAAGGTTTATAATGATTTTCCAAGCGTAACTTACATGTGGCACAAGGCCGAAATTAGGGGGCATCCAGTGAGAATCGAACTTATTACTCAGTCGTGATTATTTTAGCGAGCCAAGCTTGTTAACCATTACACCTCCTCGAGTGCCCATAGAGGTTTATATTTTAGTTTATATATGCTGCTAAACCAAATCAACCAAGAAGAAGCTTACCCATAGTCACTATTACGTTTTTGTAAGGACACCTAAATTAGAAGAAAATTTTTGTATTTATTACGCTTTAAGAGTAATAGGAAGGTAGACATAAGGAAAAAAGTTATCCGGTGCCTAATTAAATTATTCTTTACGATTCTAGCTTGAGAGTGAGAGTTAATCTTCAGAGCGATTTATAGAGAGACAGGTTAGTTGAGCAATGGATTTCTAACACTGATAACTGGGAATCAAATATTGTGAAGCAGGGAGTGTAAGCGCTTCTTTCTTGGTTTTCGGCTAGGGTGGGAAAACTACATTTTATCTCCAAATTGTTGTTTCTGTCTTCGGACAGAGTGCAACTGAGTTGTGTCTTTGTCTTTAGACAGAGCGCAACTTCCAGGCTCCGGCGGAATAGCTGAATACGTCAGTACTTTACTAATGGCACTAAAGAGGGGGAATCGTTGGTAGTACCTATGCCGGCGAAACCGATGTTTGCGCGTGTAGGGCTATTTTTGAATCTGGCCTGGGTGCACGTGCTAGGACTCCTCATATTAAACTGATCTTGTGTCACATCCTGCCAGCGTGGGGCGGCAAATAAATACAGACTACTTTCGGGCGGACAAGCTACATATCATTCTCAATTCAGACAGAACATAGAAAATAAACGAGGGTTGCCTGATCCCGGGGATTCCAACTCTGCAGCAGCACCTCACTCATTACACCAAAGAGGGAGAGTCGGTGAAATAGCAACGCCAGCCCGACGTTAGTTGCGGGGACCGAGTAATTTTATGCTTTAGACCAGGTGCATGTGATTGGGATCACCCCCTTTAAACCGGCCTTGTGCCATATCCCGTCACCACGGATAGACGAGTAAATACCAAGTATAGTATCTGTTGTGGTAGGATCCACCTAATTTGAATAGTAGAGTACCGACCATATAAATATGGTTGGTACCGGGAAGAGAGGAAGGAATCAAGAGATTCAACCAGAGACTCTGCCCGACTGCGACTCAGTCAACACATCCTCCAGAAACGGTCTTACCAGGAATATACAAAAGACTATATGTAAATATTGTGTACACTTTCTTGTTTCAAGTACATTTTGTGTTGCATTATTATTCCATGCATTAGTCAAGTTTCAACAGTATCTTTTCTTTCTTCCTCGTAGTATGAAGGAAGTCTAGTCTCTGGGATTCCAACACTGCGCACTCGAACTAAAGATTCGGTGGACTGGTCGCCGGAACTGGACAATTTTGGGCCTTGACTATTATGTACAGCAGCTCACTATATAACGACTGTCACTACGGAGAGATGTGTAAATGGCAAGATGTGTCTACCCCTGCCACAAAAAGCCATCTTCTGTGCTCCACTTCCAACTGTATCTGCGCATCCGATTAGGGCCTCGGAAGTCTGTGGCAGACCCCCCTCGTTCTGGGGAGGTCTTGCTTGACGGTCTTCATTCACTCATATATTGTATTCTTCTGTCATTTTTCGGTCGGGTGGCGAAATGTTTTTGGAGTCCGGAGATAAAAAACATCAACTAAGGAAATTTGAATCTTACTAATTTATTCAACATGTCAACGTGTATATTTCTAACTAGCCAGGGGCGTTGCAATCTCACTCCACTGGAGGTCAGTTTCTAGACATGATTTTAACACGTTTACATTTTTCGACGTGTAAACCCAACTCACTGAAAACCCGTTCTATCTAACATTCCCACACTAGTTCAGCCAAGCAGAATCGACTTCCTTTGTTTTCCCATACCTGACCTCAAAGGAGAAAATGAGAAAGTCAGAGGAGAACAAATTAATGAATCAATTTATAGATACAAAAATTGATAACGTTTTTAGACAGTTTTGATTGTCGGTAAATTAGAGCCTACTGAAGGAGCTATAAATGTGAACTCCTAACAACAGTTCATACACAGTTTTTCCCCCTTTTTTTTACAACAGATCCATTCAGAGCAATCATAGATTCGTTTTCTTTATTATATGTGAATTTCCATGACTTCTTGGAAAGATAGCAGAGTAGTTTCCCATTGCTTTCTCCGCAGAATTTAAACCCGGCTCGCCGATTGTAGATATAATTCAATTGCAGATTTATAAACCACAAAGTGGGGTAACAGGCGTATTACT